CAGTGTGCACAGTGTCAGGGTGAGGGGGTCTGGGGGTCGTCAGTGTGCACCATGTCAGGGTGAGGGGGTCTGGGGGTCGTCAGCACACACCATGTCAGGGTGAGGGAAGTTTTGGGGGGACTCATCCCAGTGTGTGTAGGGATCAGGGAGGTGTGGGGGAAGGTCAGGAGGGTGCACAATGTCGGGGTGAGGGGTTAAGGGGGGCCAGGGTGGTGAGAGGGTGTGTGAGGGGTCTGGTGTCTCCCAGGAGAGGGGGGGTTTAGGACTCGTTTATGGGGTTTGTACCCATGGAGGGACCAGGATTGTGCCGGGGGCGTGCAATGAGTGCACAGTGAGTGTGCCCTGAGCATGCAAGGCCCATTTTTGGGTGGGGGGCAGCTGTTCCTGTTCCAGCTGCTGCGGGGCCTCGCGTTCTGCCACCGGCACAAGGTGCTGCACCGCGACCTCAAGCCCCAGAACCTCCTGCTCAGCCGCCGTGGGGACCTCAAGCTCGCCGACTTCGGTCAGGGGACCCCAAAAATGTGCCCTGGGACCCCAGCTTCCCCCCTGGAACCCTCAATACCCTCCCTGCGCCCCCCCCCCCCAGGATACCCCAAATCCCTGTCCCTGCATTTCTAAAATAAACATGGTGTGTATCAAAAACACAACCTGAGACCCCCAAAAGTCTCCCATCTCCAGGTACCAGAACCCTCCAGAACACTCTTGGAGACCCTTGTGGGGACACTAATTTCCTCCTCGGAGACCCCAGTTACCCCACATGACCCCATTTGTTTCCCCAGAGACCCCAGTTTTACCTCCAGGGACCCTCAGAACCCCCTTAGGGGCCACCATTGCCCCATCTGGACTCCTTTGTAGACCCCAGTTTTCCCCTCCAGGGACTCCCATTCCCCTTGGATAAGGGGAGCCCCCTTGGGGACCCCAATTCCCTCCCCCCGGGACCTCAGTCAACCCCAGGACCCCCTTAGGGGCCCTCCATTGCCCCCCCCGAACCCTTCTGGGGACCCTGACCCCCTGTTGCCCCCCAGGCCTGGCCCGAGCCAAGTCCATCCCAACCAAGACGTACTCGAGCGAGGTGGTGACGCTGTGGTACCGCCCGCCCGACATCCTGCTGGGCTCCACCGAGTACTCCACCCAGATCGACATGTGGTGGGTGCAGGGGGGCTCGGGGGGCTCGGGGGCCCTTTGCACGGGGACCCGGGGCTCTTGCACAGCTCCAGGAGCGGTTTGCAGGGCTCTCATGCACGAGGGTCTCGCATGAGGAGGGGGCACAGGGCTCTGTGCCCACCTGGGGGTCTCGCATGAGGAGGGGGCACAGGGCTCTGTGCCCGCCTGGGGGTCTCGCATGAGGGGGGGCACAGGGCTCTGTGCTGGCCTGGGGGTCTTGCACAAGAAGGGAGCAGCACAGGGCTCTGTGCTGGCCTGGGGGTCTCGCATGAGGAGGGGGCACAGGGCTCTGTGCTGGCCTGGGGGTCTTGCACAAGAAGGGAGCAGCACAGGGCTCTGTGCCCACCTGGGGGTCTCGCATGAGGGGGGGCACAGGGCTCTGTGCTGGCCTGGGGGTCTTGCACGGGAAGGGAGCAGCACAGGGCTCTGTGCTGGCCTGGGGGTCTCGCATGAGGAGGGGGCACAGGGCTCTGTGCCGGCCTGGGGGTCTCGCATGAGGTCCACGAGCCCTGTTTGGGGTGGGAGGTCTCTCACAGGAGGGTCCCGCTGGGAGTGGGATGTCCGGGGGGGGTTTCTTGCCTGAGGGTCTCGCTGGGCACAGGGGCGTTGGCTGCATCTTCTCAGAGATGGTGACGGGGCGGCCGCTGTTCCCCGGAGCCACCGTGGAGGAGCAGCTGCACTTCATCTTCCGCCTGCTGGGTACGGGGGACTGGGCTCTGGGGGCAGTCCAGGGGGGTTTGGGGTGAACCTGGGGGGATTGGGGTGAAATCAGAGTTTTTGGGGCAAAGCTGGGGGGGGATAAACAGGCTTGGGGGGGATAAATGTGGGGTTTTTTGACAGGACTGGGGCAAGTTCAGGGGTTCTGTGAAAACTGGGGGGAACTGGGGAAAGTTGGGGAAAATTTAGGGTTTTGGGGAAAATTTCAGGGGACTTGGAGTAAATTAAGGGCCTTGGGGAAATCTAGGGGATTTTAATCAAAATTGGGTGGAAATTAGGGGGTTTGGATAAATTTGGGAGAGTCAGGGGTTTGGGAAATGAAATGGTTTTGGAATAACTGAAGGGGGTCTGAGGTAATGTGAGGAGCTTTGGGGAAAATTAAGGGGCTTGGGGAAAATTAAAGGGGTTTGGGGTTGAATAAAGGGATTTGGGGTAATTTTGCGGGTCCCTGGAATTGGAAGGCTGGGGGGGTCCAAGGTCTGGGGGGCTGTGGGGAATTTTGAATTGATCCTCTGGGATTTGGAGGGTGAGGGGGCACTTGGGGGGGGCTCAGTGGGGTTTTGGGGACCTCTGACCTGCCCTGTCTCCCCCAGGGACCCCGACGGAGGAGACGTGGCCGGGGATCGGGGCCAACGCTGAGTTCCGGGCCCACAAGTACCCGCTGTACCCGCCCGAGGGGCTGCGGCACCACGCCCCACGGTGGGGGGGGCACACGGCAGGGCTGCCCCAAAAGGGGGGGGTTGCTGCCCAAAAGTGGGGGTCTCTGCACCATAGGGGGACTCTTTGCACCATAGCAGGGGCTTCCCCTGCCCCATGAGGGGGGGTCCCAATCCCATAGGGAGGTTGCTGCCCCACGGGGGGGTACCTGACTCCCTGTTTTCCACCCCCCAGGCTGGACCACGACGGCGCCGACCTGCTGGGGCAGCTGCTGCAGGTGAGGGGGATGGGCTTGTGCTGGCCCCGCCCCTCCCCACTGGCCCCTCCCAGCCCTGCCCCGAGCCCCTCCCTGTGCCATTCCCACCCCCCCAGTCCAAGGGACCGGGCCCCTTTCCCATCCCCCTTTCCCAGATGAGGCGTGGCCTCCCCAAGGCCCCCCCCGTGGGCGTGGCTTACACAGGCTCCACCTACTGTGGGGTGGGAGGCACACAAGGGAGGGAGGGGATGGGGATTGGTGGGGCCACGCCCTCTGCGGGTGTGTCCCCGCCCCGTGGGCGTGTCCTGACGGTAGGCAGGGCAGTTCGAGGGGCGACGGCGGCTGCCGGCGGCGGAGGCCATGGCTCACCCGTTCTTCGGCTGCCTGGGCCCGCGGGTCAGCGCCCTGCCCGACAGTGAGTGCGGGGACAGGGGACGGGGGTCCTGGGGGTGGGGCTGCCAACACTTGGTGCCAGGGGAACGTCGTGTGGGCGTGGCCTGAGGGCAGGGGCTGTAGTGGGCGTGGCTTTGTGCACTGGGTGGAGCTTTTTGGGTGTGGCTTTGGGGTGGGCCAGGGGTGGGGAGGAGTCTGTGGGTGAGGGCTGGGAGTGGGTGGGGCACTTGTGGGGGGTGGGGCTTGTTGGAGCAGGGTGGAGCCTTGGAGGGGTTGGAGCTTCCCCTGGAGGAGGGCGCCCATTGGTGGAACTGGGTGGCAGTGGGAGGAACTCCAGGGGCAGGGTTTAGGCATTGGTGGGTGGAGCCTCAGAGGTGTGGGAGGAGCTATGCAAATCAATGCCGTGGGGTAATGCAAATCAGCGAGGTGTGGGAGGAGCCATGCAAATCAGCGAGGTGTGGTTTTCTAGGGGGTGGGGCTTGAAAACGACCACATCCCCCCTGCTGTGGTAACACCCTCTTGATGTGAGGCCCTGCCCACCCCCCTCTCTCCCCGCAGCCACCTCCATCTTCGCGCTGAAGGAGATCCAGCTGCAGAAGGAGCCGGGGCTGCGCGCGGCCCCCCTGCCCCCCCCAGGTCAGCACCCGAAACTGCGACCCCCCGAAACTGCCACCTCCCCAAACCCACACCCTGCCCCCCTCGTTTTCTCCGTAGGTTCTTCCGCCTTCCGGGTGCTCGACACTGAATTCTGATGCTGAGCAGGTAGGGCCCCCCAAAATCGGGTGACCTGCCCAAAATGGGGGACCCCTCCCATGGGACTGCTTAATTGACTCTTCCCAAAGTTGAGGAGCAGTAGCATTAGGGGTAGGTCCCGAAACTATGGGGAACACCCCAGAAAACGAGCCCCCCCAAACATCTAAAATTTGGGAGGGTCCCCTGGAAAGGAGACTTTCCAGAAATGGGTGATCTACCCCAAAACCAGGGAACACCCCCCAAACAGGGACCCTTAAAGGTCAGAACACCCCCAAAACATGGAGCTGCCGCATTATGGGCCCCCATGGTATCTGGGGCTCAGAGACCCCCGAAATGGAGTAACTCTTATGAATGGGGAAACCTCTAAAAAGGGAGGAGGGGGCAAATTTAGGGGTTCATCCATTTGGGGCCACCCCCCCTTAACTGCTTCCTCTCCCCACAGCCCCTGGACTGCTGCTGCAACCCCCCAGGACCCCCCAAAACTGGGGGGGGTTGCCACAAAACTGGGGGGTGACGCCCAAGATAAGGGGTCACCCCAGAACTACAGGAGGGCCCCCTGGACCGGTAACCACGGCCCCCCAAAAGACCCCCGAGGAACTGCTGCTGGATTTTGGGGGGCGTCATGTGGGACCCCCCATTGGAGGGGGGTTTGGGGTCCCCCCTATTTTTTTGGGGAGTTCCCTTGAGTCTGGGGTTTCTTCCCCCCAATTTACTTCGAGTTTTATTTTTTCAAGGCAATATTATAAATAAGAGTCTATATGGGTCCCTCCCCTCAAGGGGCGGGGCTCAGAGGGGGTGGAGCACAGCAGGGTGGGGCCTAGCAGGGGCAGGGCCACCCTGGGAGCAGTTTTGGGGCGGGGGGCGGGGAGGGTGAGTTACAGTGCCCTTCTGTGCTTACTCTGAGGTTACTTACACTCAACTCCAGGGTTACCCTGTTGTTATTTGGGGCCTCAGCATCTCCCAGGAGGTTCCCCAGCGTGGAGGGGCTTCCTCTGAGGTTGGTCCCACTTCACTCCAGGGTTACCCCAGGGTTACTCAGGCCCAACTCTGACTTTACTCCAGGGCAGCTCAGGCCCAGCTCCGTGGCCGTATCTGCCCTACTCCAGCCTTATTTCATGACTCCTCAGCCTCTCCTTGCTCACTGCTGTGGTGTTACTCAGTTTCTACTCTTGATTACTCAGATGCTACTCAGCTGGGGCTCCCCTCCCTCCCCTGGGTTGCTCGTGGAGATTATTACTCCGAGCCTTCTTGGCCCTTATGTTGAGGTTGGTTGGTACTTTACTCCTACCCAGATTTTACTCCAGCGTTACTCATGATTGAGGGGGGTGGTCTTTACTCTGAGCTTTCTCAGCTCTTAGTCTGAAGTCACTTGATACGTTGCCCCTATTCAGAACTTACTCCAGGGTTCCTTCTGGGTGTCCTTACTTTGAGTTTACTCAGTCTGAGGTTACTCAGTACTTCTAGACAGAACTTACTCCAGGGTTACTCATATGGGCCCTTACTCTGGGTTTGCTCAGCTCATCCTTTTGTGTTGTTTGATACTTTATTGCTACTCGCACCTTACTCCAGGGTTACTCCATGTGGTTCATTCTCCTTTGCCTTTGCCCCACACTTACTCTGGTGTTACCAACCCTTTGGCCTACTCAGTGCTTCCGTGCAAGTTACGCGCGTGCTCCTCTGTTGCTGCCCAGCTACTCGCCACAGTGGCTCAGCCCTTACTCAGAAGTTACTCAGCCCTTACCACCTTCTGCTACTCAGCTCTCCCTATTTATTGCTTGAATCCCAGGTTCTCTCATCCTCAAAGCTGTACTCCGGCAATACACAAGTCTTGGCCTGCCTCATCTTACTCAGAGGTTGCTCAGCCCTTACTAGCAGGTTACTTAAATGCATCTTAACGCTGACTTGCTCCACACTTGTAATTGGGCTTGTGTGGTGGGTCCTCAGAAGGGACTTAGGCCTTACTCAACACTTAATGCTTACTCAGAAGTTACTAAGGCCTTAGTGGGCCAGCCCTGTTTACCCCCCAGTGGGTTTGGGGTTACATGGCAGCGCCTTCTTTGCTACTCAACCTTTACTCAGATGATACAAAGCCCCTCTTCTGCTTACGAGCTTCCCCCGCCCTCCAATCGCTTCCTTAGCCCCTCCTTGTGCTACTCAGAGGTTGCTGAGTTGACCTGTGTCCCATCTTTACTCATATGTTACTCAGTCTCAGCTCTGGTGTTTCCTGCTCCCCCTGTTCTTCCAGGCCTTTTCTCTGAGGATACCCAATGGATACACCTCCTTCACTGCTTGCTGTGGTGTTACTTACCCTTTGCACTTCCGGGATGCTCTCAACTATCTTCTGGGCCTCACAGCTCTTACTCCAAGGTTACTCAGCCCTTGCTGTTGTTCAGTATCTTGAAGTTACTTGAGGTTTGTTATGTTGAAGTTACTCAGATGCTACTAGAGGTCACAACTTACACTGAGATTGCAAAAGTTACCCAGTACACTGGTGGGAGGGGAGTAGTCTTTACTCAAGAGTTGCTTATCCCCTTACTCCAGGGTTCCTACGTACCCAGTGGCCACACAGTTGTTACTCTGTGGTCAATCCTTGCTCTGAAATTACTCATCCCTTACTCCAAGAGCACTCAGCCTCCACTCCTCACTCCAGGGTTACCCAGTCCCCATCCTTGGGCTAATCAGGTGTTACTCCAGAGTTACTCACACTTGATGCCGAGGTGACACTTCGCTCTTGGGTTACTCACATGCCCCCGAGGCCGAGGCCGCACAAAATGGACACTTTACACTGAGGGCGATTCGTGCCCTGGGGGAGAGAGAACTCATTGGTTACTCACCCTTTACCTTGAGGTTACTCCCATCTCACCCCCCTCCCATCCAGCCTCACTCAGGATCGCCAAACCTCGCCCACCCGTCCCGTCCCTGTCTCTATAGGTACCGTGTATATATGTACAGGGGGAGGAGCAGGGGGCGTGGCTTTTTATATGCAGTGGGAGGGGCCGCCCCGCCCCCCCGCCCCCTATAGCGCCCTGCGGGGCCGCGGGAGCCCCGTCGGAAGGGCCCTTGGACTGTTCGGGGGCTCGGCGGGTCCGCGGGGGCTCCTGTGGCCCCCTTGGCGGGTCCCTGTGGCCCCCGGGGGGTCTGTGGGTCTCTATAGGGTGGGGGAGTTCCCTATAGCTCACACGGGGGCCCGGGAGGGGGGAGTGGGGTGCGCGGAGCCCCTCTGGCCCCGGGGGGGTCATGGATTCTACGGGGGGTCGCTCCCTCGGATCACGGGGGGGAGGGGAAGGGGCGGGGCCGCGGCGTTTCGGCTGTAACGGGACCGACCATTAAAGCCTCCCCGGGACCGGTGTGACCCTGTGTGAGCCCCCCCGGGACCCCTCGTGTGAACCCCTCCGAGCCCGCCCAGCCCGTCCCGGGACCCTGTGTGACCCCCGAGAGCCCTCGGGTTCGCTCCTCCCTCCCAGCTGCCCCGGGATCCCCCGGGCCCCCATCGGGACCCACCGGGGCCGCCCTGACCCCGCACCCCACGAGGGCCCGAGATCCCCCCCGGCCCGGGCGGTACCACGCGCTCCTTTCCCCTCCCCAACCCCCCCACCCCAATGGTCTGTTCCGCGCCAGGGGGGCGGGTCCCAGCGGGTGGCCAATCGCGTGGCGGCGCGGCCGTGACGCGCGGCGGGGGCGGGGCCGGTTGATAACCCGGGGCGGGGCGGGCGCGGCCTCATTCCGGGCCCGGCCGGCGCCGCGAGGGTGAGTCGCTGCCGCTCCTGTCGGGGCTCCGTCCCCCCTTCCCCCTGTCGCGATAGTCGCGGCTCCCGCCGCTCCGCGCAGGCGCTGCCGCCGGGCGGCGCTTCCCCCCTTCCCGCTCCCGCCCCGCCGCGTTCGGGGCCGCGCGGGGTTCGCGCGTGCGCGGGAGGGCGGGGCCAGCGCGCGCGGGGAGCGGGAGCGGCGCTTCCGGGGGGTGCCCACGTGGCCGGGGGGACCCACGTGGGGCTGGGGTGACGTCACGGGGGAGCCGGGGAGTTCCCGTGACGTCACTGGGAGGGGAGGTGTGGAGCCGCGAGGGGTAGCCCCAAGACGGTGACGTCATGGGGGTTTCTCTAGGACTGGGGTCTCCTGGAGAGCTGTGACGTCACTGGAGACCACGTGGGGTGTCCCACGAGAGCAATGAAGTCATAGGGGCCCAGGGGAGTGCATTCTGCGAGCCGTGACGTCACTGAACCCTGCGTGGGGCAGAGGGATTCCCTCTGGGCTGTGACGTCATCAGGCAGGGCAGAGGTTGCTGTGAGGGTTGGGCCATCAGGGGGATCCTGGGCAGTTCCAGCCAGGGCTGTGATGTCATAGCAGACCAGGGGGTGTGGGGGCAGGGTTATGACATCATAACTGCTTCCTCCTCCCCAGGTTGTAGTGTCACTGGAGGGGCAGGGCCCCACCCTATGACATCACTCCCGGCCCCGCCCCCCACGCATGGCGGCGGAGGAGGGGAAGCTCTTTGTGGGGGGCCTCAACTACGACACGGACGAGCAGGGGCTGGAGCAGCACTTCAGCTCCTTCGGGCCCATCGCCGAGGGTGAGGCACTCCAAGACCCCCTGGAACCCCCAACACCCCTCAACCCTCCCCTGGGGACCCCCAAAGCCCCTTGGGAGCCCCAAATCCCTCCTGGGACCCCCAGATTTGACAGACACACCAACTCCTCCCCAGCACCCCCACGTGTTGCCCCCAAAAGCCCCTGAGATCTCCCAAACTCTGCTCTAGGACCATTTCCTCACTCCAACCCTCCTGAGAGTCATCAGATCCCCTACCAGAGCCCCAGAATCCCCTCGGGTCCCCCTGCCTTTCCCTGGGGACCCCCAGATCTCTCCAGGAGTCCCCAGAGTATTGAAAACTGCTTGGGGAGGGGGGACACGTTGGAAGGGCCGACTCCCCCACTGGAGGACTTGGGTTTGGGGTGACACCCAAGGGTGGAGGCCCTGTTTTTGGGTGTAACCTATAGAATGGGGTTTGGGGGGTTCCCTCTGCTTTTGGGACCCCAGATTTTCAGGGGGGGTATCCATGGCTGGGGGTCACCATGTCCCTTTGGAGCCCAGTTTTGGGTCTTAATGCGCAGGATTAGGTTTGGGGGTGGGGGTCCCTTCCTCCTGTGCGACCCCATTTCAGGGGGTCCCAGCCCTCCCTGACTCTCCCCGTTCCCCCTCAGTGGTGGTCTGGGGGGTCCCTGACCCCCCTGGCCCCCTGTTCCCCTCAGTGGTGGTGGTGAAGGACCGGGAGACCCAACGTTCCCGCGGGTTTGGCTTCGTCACCTTCACCAACCCTGAGCACGCGAGCGACGCCATGAGGGCCATGAACGGCGAGGTGGGCGGGGGGCACGGGGGCACCGGGAGCCTGGGGAGCCCTGCACCACATTTAGGGTCGCTCAGGAGGTCTGGGACGCTCAGAGGTTTCAGAAGGAGTCTGGAGGGGGACCCCAGAGAGGTTGGGGGCCCTCAAGGGTCTGGAGTCCCGTGTGGGTGGCCGGGGAAATGTGGGAGACCCTCAGGGGGGCCTGGGGGATCTCTGAGCGGGTTTGGGCCATTTTTAATGGGGTCTGGGGGCCCCTGGCAGGGTCTTGGGGGCCTCTAAGGGCGTGGGGGAGCACTTGAGGGTCCCTGAGTGCCCCTGGTGGGGGGTCCCCGGGGGTTCTGGGGGGCACTTGGGGATCCCCAGGAGGCCATTGGGGGTCTCTAAGGGGCGCTGGGTAGAAGCTGAGGAGCCCTAAACAGGTCTGGGGCTGGGGGGTCCCAGGAGGGGCCGGGGTGACCCCAGCCTGGCGTGCCCCCAGTGCCTGGACGGGCGGCAGATCCGGGTGGATCACGCCGGGAAATCGCCCCGCGGTGCCCGAGGGGGCTACGGGGGCTCCCG